CAAAAATTTGGATTGTGGCCTGTTATCAACATGGTGTAAAAGCATGTGGGACAGCAGTGATTTTCAACACACTGTTGCTGTACTTTCTTGCTTGTATAAGTGCATGAGATTTTTTTTTGAATCACAGATAGTATTAAAAACTGCTGCTCTTCTCCAGCTGGGACAGATAGCTGTTTCAGGCATTGATTGCTGAAAGATCATCTGCTGCCTGTGGATAGACTAGCACAAATCAAAGTCAACATCTGTGCATGGATAATCTTAACCCATTTTCTATTCTGTTACAATAGGAGCATATGCTATCTGCCTCTGTTAGGCATGCATTGAGATAAATGGGATGGTGCAGATCAGAATAGTGACTCAGACTGCTGTAGTTAGGTAGGAAAATCCTCTAGGTGGCAACAGGAAATGAATTGTTGAGTTTGTTTTTCGTACCTATTGCTTCTGTTGCAGACTTCACTTCTACAGAATCATGCTGCTTTCCCTGGCTGTTGAGCTGTGTGGGGGGGGGCAACTCTATGGAAACATTCATCTGCAGCTTCTGTATCTACTCCCATAAAAAAGGAAATCGTGATATATTACAGAGCATAATGATGGAAGTGTTATGGCGTGCTCTAGAACCGCATTTCCTTTTTTAACAAAAATCATTGGGTCACACTGGCTGCATAAATTGTTGGTGATGCATCCTGTGCATAGTTCATGTAAGTGTTAAACTGCAGAAGAACCCATATGTATTCTTTGTCATGCATATTTACTCTGTCAGAGAAATCAGGCACCCTGCTTTGATTGTATTCTCCAGCAGAATGAGCTGGGGATAGAACTTTTATGCCCTGTTTTGAGTAAGGAAAGGACACTTGTGGACTCTGGCCATTTGGCATCCTGAAGTTTGTTTTAATCACTTTAACAGTATTGGAACTCAGTGAAGTAATTACAGAAGTAGTTCACTGCTATTCAGAGGGCTAGTATAAAGCCTGTGCACTACTTAGATTTTATTTAAATCCTCAAAAGAGAGCTTACGTGGAACTGAAGTGGTACATAAATTACATGTATGGCCATTGCCTGTGTAGAGTTGAGTTGAATTTAGAACTATATTTCTCAAAAGGCCAACTCTTCCTCCATTTTGAACTAGTCCTCTCTTTCCTTCCCTCCTTCATACGTTCATATACTGTGCATAAATGTTCATTATTTTGCATAGAATATATATATTTGCATAATATCACATAAGCACAGGGTCTCTTTTCCCTTAACACCCACTTCTAGCATTCAGCATTTCCATTTCATACCTAACTGTTCTATGTGCAGCTCTATTCATTCCCCAGCCTTTCTATCCGCTCACTCAGTCCTCAGACTCAATCCCCTGTTCCCTCTGCTAGCTCACTCAACATGCATTCACCTGTTTGTTTTACATATGCCATATACCCCCGAACTGGAGATACTTGTAGCAGCTCCATCGGCGTGTTCACCCTTCTTCTAGTCTTTTATACAACAGAGGATGCTGGCTTGTGTATGTGTGTGGGAGGTGTTGGGAAGGGGAGGTAGCCAAGCTGAGGAGGACCTAGTACATATACATGTGGGAAAAAAAAAAAAGTGAAGAGGCCTGGAAAAGGCTGCCCAGGCCATACTGCACAGGAATGCTGCAGGTCAGGAGATTGTTGGCCCAGTGACAATCTGGGGAACAGGGTTTAGTCTCAATACTGCTTTCTCTCAGGAGGCTACGGCAGCTCCAGGGTGCAGTGCCGCTGTGTACAGCCTCTACCTTGTCTTCCACCCTGCCCTAGCAGTGTGCAGGAGGTGGGTTGCAGTGCAGGCTCTGCAAGCCCCCTGCTCCAGGGGGAGAAAAGGAGCTCCAGCCTTCTGCCTTCAACAGTGTCAGTCACTGCCTGTGCTTGGGTGAATATGGCAATGTGAACCCCCTCCTCTCCCCTCAGAGCTTTTCATGCTTCTTGGCTCCCTCCTTCTCACCACCAATACATTGTAGGTACTCCCCAGTTTGAGTGCCATCCATCTCAAATAGGTTAAACTCCCAACACCATTCATTTTGTAATTCAGTTGTAGCCCACCAGATCTAACAGTGCGTTGATGTGTAGTTCTTAGTATATTTTAAAATTACCTGTGCATCAGTCAGTTTTGATTATTTATGCAGTTGGTCCTGAGGGGCTGTAACTCTGGTTTCACCCACACTGAACGCTAAATGCAAAGTGCTTTGACACTCAGGAGCTCTAATTTCCCTATCAAGACATCTGTTGTCTTTGAAAGGGAAAGTAGATTTGGCATAAGGCATTTATTGCTTACTAGTTTCAATGACTGTTAGATGTCTAGGCAGAGCTTTATTTAGGAAAAGGTTGGTGGCATAAACGAGATACTTTTTGTAAAAAAAAAACAAACAACAACACAGCAAATGAAGTTTAAACTACAGCAAAGATGTTAAATAGCCTAATTTAGGGAAGGGAAGGAAAATATTCTGTAACAGAGTAAAGAAATCTAAGAGCACGTGTTTGCCAGAGTCAGTAGTAACGTTACTACTACATTATTGTACAAAACATGAAAAAGCTTCCTTTTTCAGAGGTTTCCCTTTTTCATAGAGGTACTTTCTCTGATTTTGGTCTAACCAGTAAGACTTAAAGACCGGTCACTTAAAAAACTGGCAGCAGAGGTGGAAGACACACTTCAAGCACTGAAAGAATTCATAACTGAGTTAACTATTGCAATAGACTGATGTGAACCTTGGTTCAGTAGCCACAGGCAAAGTTTAATTTAAAAAATGTATTTTCTTTTCAGACGTGCTGAATACTCTCAGAATAAAGCATGCATAGGAAGTGTTTCTTTTGTGATTAAGTTATACTGAATATATGATTGGACGAAGCATGTGTGAACTGGATTAGTTTGTAAAATACTTTCAATTAATGTGATCGGTCGTGGCAGTGAAATACCTGCTTTCTTTGAAATTGTACTTTAACTGTATCTAACAAAAGCTGTCACAAAAGCAAAACAATCAGTCTTTGCTTTTGCAGGTATTGCAAATACTAGAAATAGTACCAAATTACTGGACTTTATGTATAAAACAAGATGCCTTTGTAGTTTTTGTAGGGTGTCTGCATCTTTTTCTTCTGTTGTCATTAGAATAAAAGTACATACTTTAGAAGGGCAGTTATACAGAAGAGTTATGCAAAACTCATATTTTCCATGTGTGAGCCTGTTAAACTTTGTTAGCATGGCAGATTCAGTTCAGCAATATTGAAGAAAAAAAGCCTAATACGGTGCACGCATAAGCATCACTTTTTGAATACTGGAGAGATCACATTTGTCATCAATAGGTATATTCCCTTGGACTTACTCCTCACACAGGGTGGGGTGTCTACTGTATACATATGTGTGTCAGCTTTTAACAGGTTTCAGTGAATTCAGAGTCCTGATCCTCCCCTCCTGGTGCTTCAGTTAAATTCCTGGATCCTGGTCTGAGTGACACAGCAGGAAACCCAACATGTGCAAGCTCTTAAGTTGAATCATAGTGAATTTATGGAAGAAATAGGTGCATTTTCTTTGCGTAGACTTCTCTTCCAAGATACTGAGTCACTGAACGTACTTCTTTATATGCAGGTCCCCTCAAAAAAATGCTTGCTTAGGTAATGTAGCTTTTAAATACAGCCTGTGTTATGGTTAAATAGAGATACAAAAAATAACTGACAGAAAGTAGGTTAGAGTTTATTTGAAGTGCATATTAACAAACACATGATTTGGAACTGTCAGGTCAGGAACTTAGTGTGGAGCCACTGTTACTGAAAACAGCTTTCCAAGTATTAACAATGTGATGCAGTATGAGAAAGGAGCTCTACGATCCCTTCAAGTCAGCTACACTTACAGATGTGCACCAGGATTAGGGAACTGGGGTCTTGGCTGACTCCCTGTTTGCAAATGTGTTTTTCGGATTTGGTTCCAGTTTAGGTTCAGCTGTAACTGAAGTTGCATCTGCTTGGGAGATTTGAGTTCATTCTTCCACCAGAGCTCCTTGTCACAGATCTTTACAAATATTTAGGCAATTACTGACTAATCTTTTGACCTTTTGTCTGCATCATTGTTCTTAACAGTGTAATAGTAAGTCAGTGGCGTTATAGGAGGAAGGCAGAGAACCTTCTGGGAAAGTCTTCTACCAACAGTGGCTGAATAACCTTGCAGTGAAGTGGGTTTTGCTCTGCTTTTCCTGTTTGAGAGAGAGATTGTCATCAAATAACTAGCTCATTCCTGACCAGCTATATAAGGAGCTGCAGTGAAATGGTGCTGTGTTGGGTTCACCTTGGCTGGATGCCAGGTGCCCACCAAGCCGCTCTGTCATTCTCAGCAGGACGGGACAGGAGAAACTAAGATGGAAAAAACTCATGCATCAAGATAAAGGCAGTTTAATAAAGCAAAGGCTGCACACAGAAGCAAAGGAAAGCAAAAGATTTATTCTCTACTTCCCATCAGCAGGCGATGTCCAGCCACTTCCTGGGAAGTAGGGCTTCAGTACACATAGCAGTTGCTCTGGAAGACAAACGTCATAATAACGAATGGCCCCCCTCCTCCTCCTTTCTCTTAGCTTTTATTGCTGAGCAGATGTCATATGGTGTGGAATATCCCTTTGGTCAGTTTGGGTCAGCTGTCCTGGCTATGTCCCCTCCCAAGATCTTGCCCACCCCCAGCCTACTGGTGATGGGGGACTGTTGGAGAGACAGCCTTGATGCTGTGCGAGCAGTAGCCAAAATACTGGTGTGTTATCAGCACCTTTCTAGCTACCGATACAAAGCACAGCACTATGAGGGCTGCTATGGGGAAAATTAACTCTATCTCAGCCAGACCCAATACAGGAGCTTTCCGCCTCAGCTTCTAGTCTGACAACGTTGCACATGATTTTGATGTGTAGTTACGTGCTGTGGCTCCTTTTCAGAGGTAGTAGGTTTAGTTTCACTTTTTTTTTTTCCTCTCAACTGATAAGATCTGTATCTGTAACATAACTTTCCTTTTGACAGGTAATTGGAAAGGATGATGTAGCTGTGCCATCCCACCTCTACAAGGTGATCCTTGCCAGACGGAGCAGAAAGTCTACAGAACCCTTGGTACTGGGGGCTTTTGTGGTGCCAAACAATCCCATAGGCTTCAGTCACCAGCTGACTGAGTTCCAAGTAAATATTGAAGATCTGGAAAAAATGTCAGGTTTAGTTTTCTTCCCCCAGGTGGACAAAACCACACATGTTAAAAATATCTGTGAGGTGGATACCTGTAAACTGATGGGCTTCAAGGAATTTACATTGTACATCACTGCTCGAAAAGTGCAGAGTGCCCGTACCTTGCATCGGTTGGAGAAAGCCATGTCAGAGTTAAGGGAGGCAGGAATTGAGCCTGATGAGTATCTTCTAAAGCTTCACAAGAAGAAGGAAGAAGAACTGCAGGAAAAACAAGCAGCAGCTAGAGAGGGGAAAGCCGGCTGAGTCCTTGTTCAGGGAGATGTTTGGGGTTTTGTACTTTGAAAGGGGAGCTAAAGGCAAATACAAAGACAGGGGCTGTATGAATTATCCTTTTTTGAATTACAAAAACAATAAAGAAACATTTGGAAGCTGATGGGTTTGGAATAACGTTCATTCTCCTGTAACACGATGCACACACATGGTTTGCTGCAGTACTTAAATGTGGGAAATGAAAATGACCCCTTTCTGGCATGAATGGATTACTGGACCTCCAGAAAAGGCTTTGTGCTATTTTCCAAGTCTGACTGGGGTTTGTATGGAATCCCTTCTAGGAATATTATAAAAATAGACAGTAGACACCTTGGGAGTGTAACTGGAATATGTTTAAATGTGATTCCGCCTGCAAATGTCTTTCAGTATGATGCTGTAGAAGCAATGGTACTTTCTGGGATTTTTTAAAATTAAATTAATTTAGAAATATTTCATTTAACACTCTTTTACTAGAGACCTGTAGGATATAATCTGAATCCCTTACAGTCTTTACTTAGTTGTGTTAACCAAACCAGATTGTCTCTTACCTCTCCTGTCCTTGTGTGCTTTGGATACTTTAGCATGTCAGTAGCTGTCAGCTGTTGTCATTTGCAGTGGGCTTCTTCCATTCATGTATAATTCCGCATATTTTTTTTTAAAAAGAGTAGAAGCAGAGTTTATACAAGTTGCTACCAGTGCAGACTGAGTCTTCATAAATTAATGTAAGCTTAATATTTCACTTTCACCACTAAGTTTGGATAAATGTGTTTTCTTGCCTATTGTTTGATTTCAGAGGAGATCACTGCTTTCTTTGTGTTTGTGGTAGTCACTCACTGGCTTTTTTCCCAGCATCAGTCTTTGGTCTATAAACTTTGCAACAAAACTGCTACATGAAGGCAGAAGATTGATTAAAAATTCTTTTCCAGTTCTGTTTCAGCAGCAACTGAAGTTGCTCAGATTTGCATCTGCTTGGGAGATCTAATGAAATTATTTTTTTTCATTAGTTTTGTACTTTATTTGTGTATAAATTTTGAATTTCAGACATAAATTAGTGTGACTTTTATCCTCTGAGATTTTTCATCTGTAAAGAAGGAGTAAAAACTGGAAATACTTAGGTTTTTTTTTTTAATGGTAAGAATCAATATAAATTTGGAGTTGTTCCTTAAAAACACCTGCAGTAGTTTTAATGTGAGAGTTAATAGTTTCTGAGAAGGGTCATGTAGTGCCAGGCTGAATTGGGCTGTTTTCATAAAGGATGAATCAGGAGCATTATTTGGGTGTTGTGAATCATCAGCTGGATGTTCTAAAGACTGTGTAGTTTCCTTCATCTCAGTTCAGTTGCAGTATCCAAAAGTAGATCACTTTATAAAGCAGTTATGGTTCCCATGACACTTTTGTGTTTGCCAAGAACATATTTACAAGATCCAGACATTTAAAACCAGAGAAATGTGACTAGCTAAGTACATCATAAAAGCTTACTGCCCACAGAAATTAGAAATTGGGTGAAATCCTGACATTTGCTCATTTCAATTTTAGCCCAGAATTTTGGTTGTTAATCCTGCCAAATGTAACAAAAACAGTAAATCGCAAAACAACAAGCCACCTCTCCCTTTGCAGAACGTGGGAGATGTTGGTGTGTGTTGCCTGGAGTAACGAAGTGCCAGATACTTCATGTGCCTCTTGATGGTATTGTGTGTGCTTCACTAGAGTCCAAGCAACCTTTTGGCACTGCGGTGGTGTCATCCTTTGGAAAAGGTACCTGGTCATTGCTCTTGGCATTGTCTTTCTCTTTTCCCCATTATTTGAATTATTTATGTTTTTTAATTTAGCCTTCCACCTTCCTTTTCTACTTGATCCTTTCAGCTGAGAGGTTACAGATCTCCTGCAGTGCTCACACACCTACGGACAGCCGAAACAGATCTCGGTGCTACAGACACGTACCTGTCTAGCAAAAATCCTGTGTTGAGACAGCACCAGTTGTACACGAGGAACTCCAGGTGTCTTCCCTTTCTGCTGACAGCTTGCCATTACAACAGCAGAAGTGCCGAGTGTGACTCTCCCGCGGAGACCTGCTATGGAGACCAGCTGCTCCCTAACTCAGTACCTCCTCGGGCTTACGTGCCCCCTTGAATTCCTGCAAGCCCCAATTACCATAATTTTCATGCCTCACGGCTTACCGCATAGACTGGACTCCCTACATAATTTTCAGCTCTGTTTGAGCATGGTTGGTGTTCCTCAGCTCCCGTTGGAGGGTGGCAGCAGGTGGTGAACGGTGAAACCACTTCCAGCACTGGTCTGTGCCGAAGAGTACGTTGACCTGCTCGTCTTCTGCTGGTTTCCTCATCTGAAATAACTGTGGAGTCTGGCATATAGCAAAAAAATGTGCTTTCTTTACAATAGGAAATATAAGACAAGGAACAGCAAGGGGGTGAGGCTTTACACACTTGTTTGAGCCACCTGTGTAAGTAGTTGCTTCAGGATCCTTCATGAGAACTGTGCTTGTGTCCATGTCCATCTGTCATTCCTGTTGCACACTTAATCACTTCCCTGCGTGCATCTGTAGTGACAATACAAACCTCTGTGATGCAGCTAAGCAGCAGGAGTCCTGGAAATGGACAGGTCTGTCCTTCGCTCCTCCACTGTTTTATTATGTTTGTTTTTAAAGCTAAATAACTGAATAGCGAGGGAAGTTGATGACTAGGCTGCCTGCAGCCTAATACAATGATTTTCTGCTATTCCCTTGACTCTTGATTGTTACTGCTAGTCTTGAATCAGGGTGAAAGGGATGGTAAATAGGAGGCAGACGGGAAGGGAATGGAGGGGAGAGCTGCCGCTGTGCTCAAGGGCTCTGGGCTGCAGCCCACCGGCTCGGCTTGGTGTGCTTTTGGTATTTGGCCTTTTGAGGGCAGACTGTTTCCGCAGCGTCAGCCTCGGTGGCCAAAAATGATGGGGGATACGAATCGAATGTCTCTGGCCCGTGATAACTGTCTTTCTGCTCGTGATACCAAGATACCCATGTAAAATGAATTGTTTTGAGTGTTATGTTGACAGCAGTGTGGTGTGAAGCTAATGATTTTTCCTGGATAAAGGTTTTGACAATAATGTTTCAAAGTGCCTTTAGATTGACCACCCAAGTTGTGTATCTGCTCCGAAGACAATTTTGACTCCAGCTTCATGAATCTCATTCTAGGTGAGGATTTAGCCCTGCACTGATGTCTTGCAATGCCATTGTTTTGCATCTGTAAACATAGTTGGGGGGCTGAGGGGTGGAATTTAAAGTTCTGCTTTTTATTTTTATGTGGTTGGTTCACTTTGGAGCACCATTTTGCGATTTTCAGTTTGTCTTGTAGTAGTAAAGATGGATCTCATTAGCTAGTTGTGCTATGTGCTGCACTAACCTGTGGAGAAACAGCCCCTGTCCTGAAAAAGTAACACACATTAGATAACCGCAGGCAACAACTGGAAGGGGAGAAGCTACACACCCAGAAATCTGAGGATTTCTTTCATCAAAGGGCTTCAGAAGTGCTGCAACACCCACCTTTGAGTGTCCTTTCCGCCACTGGAATCATCTCCCTGAGGGAGACACTCAGGTGTCCTGTAAAATAAATGGAGGCAAGTAGGTAAGAAAACCCAGGATTTGCAAAAGCTGCTTACCTGGCCAGTAGTGATTGCTGGAGATGAGCACTGGGTTTCTCTGAGGGTTTTCAGTCCTGAGCCTTTTTTTGGAATCGGCTAGACAAGCTAGGCCTGTGTCATGGAAAACCATTAAATAGAGGTACTTCTGCCAGTACACCACCTGTTTGAGTGAGATGTCCAAGCAGACACGCTTTTCACAGCCTACTCTGATTCAGCTCATGGACTTGAAACCACTGATCTTCCTAGTGGAAACTTCCAGTTTGTACAAACGCTACCAAACTGGCCAGCTAGGGCTGTGCTGTCCCCAGTCTGCTCACCAGAGGAGCAGCCACATCAGCCCCAGAGGATTTGAAGAAGGTGTCCTGCCTGCCACGCACCCTTGTCATCTGTGCTGGTGGGTGGAATGGGTTGCTGAAATAGGGCAGCCTTGCTTTGGCTGCCTTTGGTGGGAGGTCTCCATGGTGAAGGAGCTCCAAAGATGCGTCCCAGGTGGAGCCAGTCAGGTGGATAAACCAGAGCTGCCTAAAGATGGGACGGCAGAGGAACAGGGAGAGATTTATTTGGTGGCAGCTTGCAGAGAAGTGGGGACCTCTGGTACTGTAATCCCTGGGTCTCTTGATGTGTTTAACCCATGCCAGCCTGTGTGAAGAAAACCCCAAAACCTCCTGTGCCCATCCTGGTCCTGTGTGTTTGTTGGGCAGCACTGAAGCTGTGGAGGCATTATATATAAACCCCAAAGTGCTCTTGCTAGTAACCTGGCTCAGTGGGGAAGTGAGGAGCAATTTTGCTGTTATTTTTGAATTGTCTTCTGCAGTCACAAGGGAAAAGCTTTTCTCACCATGCAGCAAAGGAAATGTAGGAAATGTTCCTTTTTTTTTCTTTTTTTTTGATTCAGGTCCATCTAATCAGCTCCACCTACACAGTGGTGGTATAGCCAGTTCTCACATGCTTCCTAATAGCCATCTGCCTGTGCAATTAATGGCTTGTCTGCTTTTACCATAGCTTGGAGGAAAAGACTGAACAAGAGCTTTGAGTATTTGCTTAAAATATCTGCAGTGTCTGTGTGGATGCTCCAGGATGGATGCTCAGCGCAGGCTACAAACAACCCCCACTTTCCTGTATTGTAAAATATTAGAGCAACTGGCCTTTTCCACCCTGCCTTTCAAACAGAGCACATTTCCCACCTGCCGTGTGAAAAATTAACAGCTGTGGCAACATAATATTCCCAAAATGCTCGCTTCCAGGAGCTGAACGCGAGGCTTTTCACGTTGGTTTGAGAGGTACGATGGCTGGCATCCCAGCTTCCCCGCTGGTGCGTTCAGCGGGTGGGGAGAGATGCGGAAAACAGGTCTGGAATGAAGTGCTTCCAGCTCTGCTTAAGAAACAGTGTGGAGGTATTTAGCAGATCACAGAGGTAAATTTGGTTTGTGTCAAGAATAAATATTTCACAAGACAGCAAATAAAGTCCTGTGCAAGTTTTCCCTAGCAGCTCTCAGCAGCCGATGAGGCAGGGCTCGGCATCGAGCAGGCTGGAGCCAGGGAGGGAATGGGAGCACCCGCCAAGCTGCTGGTGCCCAACAGCTGTAAGTCCTGTCCCATCTTTGCATGGATCCATCCATCTGGAGGAAGACCAGCCCGTCTCCCTGCCAGCCTCCTTTTACTCCCATGCATTAAGGAAAATACGTGTTCCTCATGCCATGGCTGGTTTGTGACCCAGCCAATGCTCTTTGGTCTGCAGTGCCTCCAAAAGCGGGGTGGCCGTGGCCAAGCACCTGGCGAGCCACAGTGGGACACAAAGCGTGGTGAAATGAAACCATAGCTGGATTAGACAGCCTGGCTGTACAAGTGGGCTTGAGCTTGGATTTAATTACCAGAGTGTCATAATATGCAAAGTAAGCTAAAACAGAAGGGATGAAAGCAAGGCAAGAAAGCTGACCTAACTGATGGCAGTGCTAGGGGGGAGGATGCCAAATTGTGTCCCTCAGCCATCAACAGGTCCCTTGGGTTGAACCTGAGCTGCTTCAGCGGCAGCTGAAGGACCTTCTGGAGAACATCAGCCCTGTGATACCTCTCTGCGAGGTGGACAGGTAGGGTTATCACCCTATGCCTGTGCATGCGTATACATATGCTGGTCCCAAAAGGAGTTGGGCAAGAGATGGAAGAAGGCTTGCTGCAAGCACTGCAGCTGTGATACACGCAGTCTGTTTCCTTTCATCACATGTGACTTCATTTTTCAGTCTCTTCCAGCTCTGGGTACTGAGCCTTCAGCCTTTACCTGTCTTTCTCTTATCTACACCTCCACAGACTGAATTTCATGATCTGCAAGGAGACCCACTCCTTTCCCATTCCTGTGAAGGAGGGAAGGGGAGACAATATAACCACTATCCTGCTTATTTATTTGGGACACAGTTTTACACCTAACTGAGCTCACCTCAAGCTGTGATGTGCAGCAGCTGGAGCTCCAGAAAAAGGTGCTGGGGTTCACCTAACTTGATTTAACTGCATCTTGAAGATGTATTGCTATTCCTATTGCTACACTATTGCTAACTGTACTGTTATATTATTAGTATATCAGACTGACTGTCCTTTTCAGTCGAGTGAAATCTTATCAGAGGATCCAGTAGTGCTGACTTAGAGCTCAGGACCTCACAGCAAGAGATGTGCTGCTGACGGGGCTGCCTTTCCCCAGGGCCACCCCCTGCCTGGGGGGGACTTTGGAGCCCTGCAGATACCTGCCAGGGTTAAAGAACAAATAGAATGATTGCTTAGTGTGTCTTAGCCTGGGTGACAACATCTTAACCTTTCCTTTTTATCTTTGTCACAGGCATCCTGTAATGTCAAACACGTGTAACGGGGAAAAGCTGCGCAGGGAGAAGCTGTGCAGGAGCAGTGAAAGGTTGCAGCAGAATTTCCCCATCCTCCCTTGTCCCAGCTCCAGTCTTCAGGTGTTTTAACGTGTGGGGAGATTCCTGTGGGTGGGAATGCAAAATATATGTTCACATGGAGTTAGGATTGGTCTCTGGCTGTGTGGGAGAGTTTTGGCTCCAGGGTTATGTTTTCATTACATGAGATTTGTGCTGTAGCGAGCAGGAGATTTCAGGAAAGAAATTGATGTTCCTGCCATCAGCATAAGTCCCGTCAGTAGCAGAGCGGCACCCTCGCCATCTCTGGGCTTGCCTGTCCTGAGCCCTTGCCAGGAAGGAATTAGGTGCCAAGGCCAGCCACGTCCTTCTTGCCAAAGCCATGTATATGAGAAGCAGAGACACGTATTGGAGATGCTGGAAGCCAATATTCTGACACCCCTGCACCCGGTTTGCACCGGGGATTTGAACTCCAGGTTCCCACTCCCGGGGGGACACATTTGCCATGGGGGTGTAGGACGTAGAGGGATGTGAACTCTTCTGCTAAAGTGTTTCTACTGTCCCTGAATTGCTCAGAAGCTTTAGCTTCTGGACCAATGAGGGAAGATGCAGTCCTCACTGCAGAACTTACCAGTGCTGCAAGGTGCAGGTCTCTGCCCTGTGGAGGCTATAGGTGCTGTGAAGAAGTGGGTGAGACTGTGCAGGAGTGTGTTTGGGGGCTCCCACAGAGCAGCACCCCCAGGACTGCAAGCATGAACGGGAACCCCAGGGAGGTCTGGGATTTCCCATGGCCTTAGGAGTCCAGAATTAAAACCAGAGACACTCCCGTTATGTGTGATAAGACTCCAGGGACTTGAAGATTAAGCCAGGTGATATTTTTTAATGCAAGATGTGCTAAGCACATAAAATATTGAGTCCAACCATTCCTGCGCTCTTTTGCATGCCAAACTCTCACCTGAGCATGACCTTCCTCACCCCAATGGTCCTTCTCACCCCCATGGCCCTCCTCATCCCCACGTACTCTTTCAAAGCAGCAATTTTGCTTTGTTCTTGCCCCTTTGTACTCCTCCGTCGGAAGCTGCCATCACCAAAGCGAGCGTGTTGCTCTTACTAATAGCAAAGTAATCAATTTGAGTCACTGTATACATTAGTAATGGCCATGTAATTCTAGTGCAAATTAGGTTTGGGCAGGCTGTGAAGCCCGAGACATCTCGTCTTCCTGAGCAGAGCTTGGATTTACTGTCCTCTGGGGAAGGCCACAGTGAAATGCCCCCCTACCCCCCTCGCAAATCCTCCCTTGATTGGATACAGTATGGTCGTCTGATTAAAATTGTGCAGTAGTTCAGAAAATGATTTTCAGCCAGTGCTTCACAGTAAATTACTTTTTTTTTTTTCTTCCCCCCAAGACAACAAGTACAGCTGGACACTGAAATGAGAAGCTCAAGAAAAGCAAGATGCCAGTGAGGTGAAGACAGAGGGGGGCCAGAGGAGCAGCCTGCAGCAGTGTCACCCACCACAGGCCATCCCCGGTGCGCAGACGTGCATCTCCCACGAACCCAAAGCCTGGCCCTCACTCCCATGGTGATGCTGCCCACTTAACACCCAGATCCCTTTTCCCACCGAGTCAGGCCCCTGGCAAGTTTTGCCGGTGCCATGGGTAGGCGAGGAGCATCTTCTGTGGGCAAATATCCCGGTACCCACCGCTGTACCCCTGCATGGGGTGTCCCCTTCCCGACGTGCCTTGTCTGTGCCTGTCACCAAACCGCTTAGGGAGGTAGATGGGAGGAGCAGAGCGTGTGTCCCTCCTGCCACCCTCCCCTCCGCCCCGATGGCCACTGCTGCCTCTGGGGCAAGGAAAGCCCCAGAGCTATGTGCCCACCAGTGCCAGCCATGCAGCATTTTCCAGTCCCGGGTGTTAAAACCACCCACTTCACACTGAGCGATTACTGAAGGAAGTGCACGATTTTTCCTCAATCCATGGAATGGGGTCTCCTGTTTTCCACGTGAGCATCCCAATGACACCTGGAGACCCATCTGTCCCTAATGTGTGATCCTGCAGTAGTTTGCTCATCCAAAACACTGCTGATGCTCTTCTGCAAGGGGAGAGCTGCCTGCTCCCTTCCATCCTGTGGTAAGGGCTTGGCAGGAAGGATGCATCTTCCAAGATGAATCTCCAGTTTCTTGGGTTGCCCAAAGGAGGGTAAGGAGGTGCACCACCCTGCCAGTAAAACAACATCTTCAGCATCTTCCTGCAGGAAGGTGTCTTTGGTTGTGACTCCGGTGATGGCAATACTGTCCGAATTTCAGCATGTTGAAGCCTTGAGGAGGAGTGTGATTTAAGCACGCAGCAATCAGCCCTTCCTGATGGCCTTTCATGGACCTTGTGCCCATCTAATCAGTGCCCATCCTGTGCACTGGGTGCTGGGCTGGGTCTCCAGGTATTGGGCACCCAGTGGTGGGCACATCTGGACTGAGCCTCACTCCAAGCAGCTCCCACCACATGGCAGGGGGCTGTATCTGTGTAAGGAGGTAGGATAAGGAATTACAAACAAAAAGATAAATTCTGTAGAAATGCTGCAGCAAATGCATGCCTCAGAAGGCGTGGTTGGCGGGGTGGAAAAGGGAGATGGAATGTTTTTTAATTAGAACTGGATAATTTATTGACTGTGGGCTCATGTGTTAATGTGTCATTTGAAGTGTCTTTCAACAAGTAGCATGGCATTGCTTATAGGTGGTCATACACTGAGCTGAAGGTCTAATTTATCATCCTTTTGGTTTTTTCTTTTCCTGGGGGGACTATGACAGCCTGGGAGGGGACAACAACAGGCAGTAAACCAGCTTTATGTATGCTATATTTAAGATGTATGTTTGCATCCAAATAAATGTAAATCTGATTTCCTCCCTTTAGACAAAAAAAAAATTAAAAGCTAACTAGGAGTCTCTCAGTGGCAATGAACCACCTGACTCTTTAACAATGCTGGAAGGAGAAGAAAATTTGCACATGGTACAAAATAGTAGAGAATCTTTGTCACAGCCGATCCCGACTCCCACCTTTGCTGCAACACGGGCTCTCTCCATTTCGTATTTGCTCCATGAGAAGTGGGTAGTGTGGGGGAGGGAAGGGCTGTTTATTAAATTAAGAAAATATATTTCACAGCATATTGGCACTGAGCTGGAAAGGAGCAGCTCGGTTGCCCACTCCCTCTCCCAGTCCCCGCAGGATTGTTCCTCACCGGCAATGATTAGTGCTTTCGTCCATCCAGTTTGAAATGTCACATTTCCTGCTGCAATTAGAAGGAGCTTTTATCCGCAGGATGTATGTGTGTGTGTCTGAGGGGGTGTTTTCATTCCCTCCAGGTGAATGTTTTAGTAAGCAACGTCCAACACATAACACAAATACTTGAAAAGAAACATTTTACTATTACTAAAGACTGTTATTGCAGCTTTCACGACCTTTCAGAGATCCCTGGGAACTTGAAAGGAGTGGGCTTATAAAAGGAAGCGTGATCTTGTTTTTAAGCTGGGGCACAGCAGAGAGGTGGTTTTGGCGTGCTCAGTTCCCAAAGGGAGCCGCTCTCACCCTTGCGGGGCTTGCCAACGCCAGCCTGCTGGGACCCGACAACAGCGGTAACTCAGCCCCTCCTGAGACCACCTCCAGGCAGCCGGCACCAAAGGTCCACCACGTTTTGGGGGAGATAGATAGAGCAAAAGATGCCAAAGGGCAAATGCTGCAGGTGAAATACTCCGTGGTAATACGCCAGCTCTGTGCCCTGCTCTGAGGCTGCTCAGCATCCCTTTGCTGGAGGGGGTTGAGCCCCAGCAGTGGGGCTGCCTGAGCTGGGCAGGGGGCTGGAGAACCTGCTTCTGGGGACTCCAAGGCAGCAGAAAGCTTGCTAGGAAAATGCATGGTCCAAGGATAGGGCTTGGGTATGGGGCTGGCAGCATCCAGGCTGTGCAACGGTTGGCACAGTTTCTATCACAGACTTGGCCCATGCCATCTAGCACTCTTCTGTAAGACACCTGGGCATAGGTGCACTCTGTATTATTTGTAATAACCAGGCCTCACACTATTTAATTTACTAGTATAGACATATCTGAACATGCCTTGACGGTCATGAAAGAACAGTCCTGCTCGAGGATTTCATCCTAAATTTGAAGTCCCTCTGATTCTGATTTGACAATGTATCTGCAAACATAGGATGAAATTTTCAGTTCTATTAGCTATCGAGTAGACCCACTCTTTTTAATGGAGCAGAGTATAGCTCCAAATGAGCCACCACAGCAGAACAGAGGTCTTAACTATGATGTGTAATTTAACATGATTATGTGTTTGCTTCCTGCATCTTGTGTATGCATGAGAAGATGAGGTTCCTACCCAAATGACTTAAGAGTTTCCAGGTATGATCCTACAAACCCTTATTCACACAAGTAGTCTCAGTTACTTCAAAGGAGCCTTTTCATAAAAAGGAAATTTGCCTCTTTAGAGTTGAGAAGGTAGAAAATGGAAACATTGAGTCAGTCACAGTGCACCTCCTATATAATTTAGGGTATGCATTTAACAATATAAGCACTAATATAATGGGTTTGGCAGCCAAGACTTTCAAAATTAGAGCCCTAATATTAGATCTCTTCAGATATATTTGAGATCCGAAAAACCCTGAGGCATCAGGATACAGAAGGAGATATCTAACTTTAGGTATGTGAAGGAGGTTGTTGACTTTCAGGACATTATTTGGGGTGAAAAGTCAGTATTCTGTGAAAGGGAGATCTGAGAAAATGCACTTTTTACAGGGTAAAGTAGATCTGCACTCATGGCCAATTGTGGTGGCTCCTTGGCCCACCTTACCTTCTTCACGGTTTTTGTCTCCATCCCTGGCCAATGGTCCTACATGTTTCCCAAACTGGGTTTCAGCTGCTGGCACCATCCTGGGTTTGGCCCCTGTTAGTGCTGGCTTTAGCAAGCACTACAAAAGAGGAATGTAGGAACAGAGCAGGATCAACACATGGAGCCCCAGGTCAGGATGTTGTCTTGATGTTTGAGTCCCCCAGAGTTCTCATCATCAAACATGTAATGTCAAAATGAT